TTTATAGGTACATTGATTTTTTTGTGACAGTTTTATGGGATCAAATATACTGAATAGGGAAGATAGAAATATGATTGTTCGCCTTTCCTGTTATTTTTTTTCAAGCTGATTTAAAAAATCATAGGTTTATGGTTAGGGTAGGTAACCCACCTGATATCTGAGGATTCATAGTTATAGTGAATAGACTCCTAAACATTTATTTTGCACTTTAAACTTTTTTATAGTTTTTCTCATACAATATAGATTATTCCCAGAGACAATCTTTCTTTATAGTAGAAACAAGCAGCACATTTTTGCTCTCCTTCACTTTCACTTTAATACCACGTTAGTAATTCTCTGTTCTGTTCCCATTAGATAATCAAAAAATATTTGATAATTGACAGAATATCGGTTTGTTAAATTAAACCAAGTTTTTTTAATTCCATATCTGAATGAGTATCCACTGTGTAAATGTTGTTTATGCTTCTAGGCTCAGTGAGGGCTCCATAGGTAAATTACAAGAAGGTCACTGTCTTTAATAAGCTTATGAGAAAAGATGAGTGTAAATAACTCTAGTGCAATGTGGAGTATGATGAGGTCATAAGAAGGAGGTCTTAAAAAGGTCATAAGAGGATGGGACAGTGATAAGAGAAGATTGCTTGGAGAGGGAGCACTTTGTATCATACCCCCATGGTTTTCGCTGCCTGCCAGATTTTCCACCTGAAATGGAAGGACCCTTTCCTCGTGGCACTGACACCCACTCTCTTTAGGGTCTAGTCCTTCTAAACCTGGGAATTATTTGTAACATCATATGCTCCATAAGGCAACATTTTATTAACTCAAACAGTACATCACCAATGGATTTTTAAAATATGTATCTTCATACTTGCTTTAGCCAGGATTGATTTTGGAGATAAAGCCACTAGGTATACAATTTAGAACTAAATTGTCCAGCTCTGAAGCATCATTCTAAGTGGGTGATAATTCCCTATTATCATATAAGGATGCTATAGCCCATGAATTCTCATGTCCTCCACATGAGAATTCCACAGCCCTGCCTAATGCACAGGTAGACAACTTACCTCCTAGATGCAAGTTCACAATGATTATCAATGAGTCTCTGAATACCATGAACCTGGGTCTGCAGTTATATTAGTATTTCCTGTTTCCATATAGCCAGGTGGTCTACGACTGCCTGTGTGACTGGTTATTTTCACTTCATAAACGTAAATAATAAAGATCTATAAATCAAGAGAATTACTTTGGATTCTTCTTTTTTTAAATCTGTACTTCTTATTGTTAACAATAGTTGCCACCTTAAATTAAAATGTTAATACTAAAAAATAAATTAGACTCAGGCCAGGCACAGTGTCTCATGCCTATAATCTTAGTACTCTGAGAGGCTGAGACAGGTGAATTGCTTGAGCTCATGAGTTCGAGACCAGCCTGAGCAAGAGTAAGTCCCCATTCCTACTAAAAAAAAAAAAAAAAAAATGAAAAACTGAGTTAAGAGAGGATAACTTGGGTCCAAGAGTTCAAGGTTACTGTGAGCTATGAGGCCATGACATTCTACTGAGGGTGACAAAGTAAGGCCCTGTCTCAAAAAAGAAAATAAAAAGAAAAAAGAAAATTTAAAAACAAAAATAAATAAATAAATTAGACTCACTGCTCTCATCTCTTTTCCTACTCTCTTCCCTCTCTCTAGTATAAAATAAACATATACTTGCATATTCTAAAAAATAAATAAATAAATTCGTTCCTAATTTGCATTATTCCTTATCTCATTTTTCGTTAGGAAAGTTTCTATCCATGAGATAGAAGGATTCTTTTTTCATTTATAGGGTCGATACATTTACTTTGAAAATACTGACTACATTAAAAGGTACTGAGGAAGATCTGAAGAGGTGACTTCCTTTTGAAACCACTACTGTATTATGTTCTGGTCCTTTGGCTGACCATCTGAGTCAACAAAAAATGTGTGTGCATTCTAACGTACCTTTGCTTGTTAATAAGTAAAAAATAAATACGGATAAAATCCAAAGTAAAAATAAGATGTTATGTAGCTTGTCATAACAAAACTTTTGCAAAATGTATTGTTTCAGCTGAGGCACCTTTGTGGGTCTGGCAATTTTGCTGAAATAGTCAATTACTTCTTTAGGTAAGATAATGCTGAATGCTCTCAGAGAATAATTTGGAATAACGATCTGTGTGATTTTTAACTTTAGAATTGTAGCAATTTAAAAATTGCTGAAATGTCAAAAAAATAAAATAAAAAAAACCTGAAGACCTGACTTGGAAACTCTACTCTACATTGTTAAGAAAATTTTCATGATTTATTTGTGGAAATGCTTTAGGACTTGGGATGTGGATGTGGATATTGGTAACCACATGTGGATGTGGTTATTGGTAACCGCATGTGTGGTCCCATTAATTTGCAAGATAAATATTAACCAAATGCCAATTATTATCTCAGAGTAGTTTGAGTAGTATCTAAATAAATAAAGCACACCCTCTTTCTTTATTTGATTTATGGGCCATATTTATGTGAACTATGTTACATAGTGTTTGTTTGTTTGTTTTTCAAAAAAGACAGGTTAGACCCACATTCTAGGCTAAAATACTTGAGAATAAATCTCTGAGATCTAGGAAATAAAGTCATTGTTGTGCTAAGCTGTGCAGGTAAGAAAAATGTGAACGGGAATGTGATAGAAGTTTTAGAATATGTAAATATAAGTACATTTCTATTCTCAGTAGAATAGAAAACATCATAAATCTGCATTTAGTAATTTCATTAATGATCTGGAATAAGATAACAAACAGGCTGTTAATTAATTCATCAATGATTCTAAATTGAGATGTTCTGTGAATCCAATCAAGGACAGAGAAATGATGTCGGAGAAGCACATAAGAGGAAAGGTATCATAAAATCAAGTGTGGAAGGAAGCAGCAAGCACCTAGGAAGTTAGCTTTGCGCTCCCCATAGAGGAGCTCCCCATAGAGCATTATCAAACTTGTTCCATTATTCCCAATAATATCTGCACAGCAGAGAAACACATACTGGGACTTGGGGGTACCAAGTGATATCGTAATCGAGTTATGAAACAAACAGGTAAAGAAGAAATGTCAAACCTGGGAATCCTGGAACCCAACTGATTAAGTCAGGTTCCCACCCTAAATAAAATATCCAGTTCACCTAAGAATAATGGGATAAGGAGGTCTTTGTATGATAGACAGGTATTTACAAAGACAGCTTTTATCTTATGAGAGATATGAGTTAGCCTCTGTATCTCTCTGTGGACAGCCCGTGCCTATGTGTTCACTTTCTCTACGCGTAAGTGTGGAATAGCTATGCCTAGTTGTTTAACCCTCAGAGAAAACTTGGATTTGATGTGGCTTGTGGAATACAGGGGCACATGTTGTTTCAGTGGCTCTGTTGCCATGTTCCTAGCTCTTTCTGTCCTTCCCTCGTACCCTGGAGTTTTGAGCAATTGAGCCTGCAGCTTCAAGCAGAGTATGGGACAGTCTCCCTATGTGGTAGACGGAAGTCTCGCCAAAGGGACACAGAGAGAAATTAATTGTGTTGCTTTATTTTGGCTTGATTTTTCTATAGCCAGATGATTCTTCCTGAAATTAAAGAAGAAAACCATACCCCCCAGGAAGTATTTCTCTCTTCTCCAATAATTCATGTTTCTTTGCCTCTTTTTTCTTTTTCATGTTTCAGAAAGAGATCCTTTTTAGGTTTGTAAAAAAAGTAGTCATTTTCTTTTACCTTCCTTGGAATATAAACTAGTAAATAAGGTTCTTTACCTTCCATAAAAGGTTGCAGTCTTTCAGTGGGACCAGAAATGCTCGTAGCCACCTACCTTGCCCCCAAGCAACCTTTAGCAGCTGGAACCAGACCCAGGCCACATGACATTTGCTTTCATTTCCTGTCCACTCTCTCTTGGCCCTGCTTACGCAGTTTTCACTTCTACAAGTGGGCTTCCCAAACTCATAAAGAGCAGATGCATGAGAATCTTTCCCCCAGTGTGTGCTCTCGTTTGTTTTATCAAATGTCAGGTGGCTGTAAGATGTTAGTTTCATCTCAGGGCTTTCTATTCGGTTTCAAATGTTTATCTCTCTATTCTTGTGCCAATTCCATGCTGTTTTGATCACTATCGACTTGTAATATAGCCTAAAGTCTGGTAGAGTGCTGACCCCGGCTTTGTTTTTAATACTAAGAATTACCTTGGCTACATGGGTTTTTGTCTGTTTCTGATGGGTTTCACCTACATAGGTGAAAAACTCATTTCCAATCAAGCTAGGGGAAGGGATAATGAGAGAGGGGGAAGGGAAAAGGATAGGGGTGCTCTTATTGAATGGGTACAGGTTGGGGGTGTTTGGCACCCCTTTTGTGTGGGGGACATAACTGCAAGAGGGATTCTACCTAAAAAAATCAAATATGTTGACCTTGTTGCTTGTACCCGCACATTAACTTGAAATAAATTTTCTAAAAAATAAAAAATAAATTAAAAAAATAAAATCTGAAAAAAAAAAGAGCAAACGCAAATTAGTCTAATTCTCATAGCAATGGAGCACAACCTGAATCTAGGATCACACAAGACTTAGAGGAAATACTTAGAATAAACAGTCCAAGATGGAATAAAAGTGCCACAATATCAACTGTATATTCTCAAAATGACTTAAACAGATGGAGTTCTCTGTCATTGGCCTTTTCTTATACAACAAAAAGATAATCTGGGGTAAAATCAATACTAGTTTAACTTGTCTTCATACTCACACTCAGATTGTTATTGTTGAATTAAGTTTAATACAATGATATTCATCCATTGGATGTTAATTAGATCTTAAAGGAAATAGTGATAATATTTAGGACTCCAAGAAATAGCATGGTGATGATTCTCTCTGCATATCATTAGAAATTATTATTTTCTATTGGTCTTGTTGAGTCTGGTCCTGCAGAGAAGGCAAGCGGAAGCAGTTACGGGTAAGGAACTCACACTGTTGTTCTGCTCTGGCAGGTGTGTGGTAGAAGACAAGAACTCGAAGGTGGCCTGGTTGAACCGTTCTGGCATCATTTTCGCTGGGCATGACAAGTGGTCTCTGGACCCCCGGGTTGAGCTGGAGAAACGTCATTCCCTGGAATATAGCCTCCGAATCCAGAAGGTGGATGTTTATGATGAAGGTTCCTACACGTGCTCAGTTCAGACACAGCATGAGCCCAAGACCTCCCAAGTTTACTTGATTGTGCAAGGTAAGAAAATGCCACAATAGATGGGTGGTAAGGAAGAGGTGGGAGGCAGAGACTAATCATGATGGGCAAAATATTTGTGAAATCTTTTCTGGAAAAAAAAGAACATCTTTCAAATATATTATTGCAATTAAGTATGTATTTTCTTCAGAAAAAGATAAGACTTAAAAGGTGCAGACTCAGGAGAATAAAGAGTATCACCTTGTCACTATGAGCCAGGACCATGGTGAAAGTGTTTTCTCTGAGCCCTGAGTGTGAAAACACATAGCAAAAGCCACAGCTCTTAGAACAAGGTAAAAAAAGGAACAGGAGAACACACAGAATGCTTAGAACCAGGTAAAGTCCATTTTCTTACCCAAGGAGGTATGGGATGCTTTGCGGAATTTATGAAAGTTTGGTTTTATCTGTCTTTATCCTGACAATTGTCACTAATTATCTGTTTTATCACTAGACATCTGATTTGTGATAGCAAAAGTCTTTTAGAAAAATAAAACTTCTCAGAGGGCTTTATATTTTTCCTCTTAGTTTTCCAGCTTTCTGGACACTTAATGACAAGTTACTTGTAAGCAAATCCAGTGACAAGTTCTGCAGTCATTGGAGGTAAATTTACTTCTAGACTGAGGTTACCAGTGGCACATCTGAATCATGGCTTTACAGGATGGAGACCCTAAATGGCACACACATACCACGAGACTCTAGTTCTCGTGGGTTTACTTCCCCATGACTGCAGAAGGTTGACAAAGCTGATCGATCAGCTGCACAATTTTATTGCAAGCTAAATTCAACCACCAGCAGTTCCTTTTTTTTTCTTTCTCTGTTTTTTCTTTTGCTAATCTTTTCAATCAAAGGAATTTTAAAGGCACATGTATTTTGTGATGAATTTTATGTGTTTGTTTAATACATCAATTTTTTTTAAATTCCACATTATTATGGAGTACGTACGATTTGATTTCACAGTTCACTTTTTTAAGGTTAAAGTCAGAGTTATAGGTGCATCTTTCACCCAGGAAGTGTACAACACCAGCAGTTTCAATCTATCTTTCGGCAAAGATCTAAGCACTAACAAATATTAGAGCTGTGTTCACGTATTCTTGATTTACAATTTTATGTAAATTTAATGCAAATTAGGCATGGCCCCAGGTCTCCTGTCAAGATTCCAGTGCAGTCAGTGGTGTGGCAAAGTTTGACTGTAGCTTCTATTAATGTGTTATGGAATTGATTATTGCAGCATTTAAATTATTGCTCTCCCAACTCCTCTGATTAATAGGTTGAAACTGGAATAAAATACATCAGAGACTGCCTGGCGCAGGGGTGCTTTAGTCATGTGACCCCTATCTTGGTCCATTTGGAATGGATGACAGCTTCATTTTATTGCTTATAAAAGACATGTCTACTGGCTTGCAAACTTCAGCCATAGTCAAAGCATAGAATACATTCCCTGTGGTTTAGTAGCTACTACGTGAGCTTTATAACAAGGGAAATACCAAGCTTTAGATCTCAGGCAACCCATTTAGACCTGTAAGCAGAAGTATGGAAATATGTCAATGAGTTAATTTACCAGCTTCCTCAGAACAAATACAAGTACACCTGCATTCACACACATACACATCAAAATGAAAGAAGAGTTTCTACCTAAGTCAGTGAGAGAGGGGGAAAGAGAACTAATTTACTTAGGACTCTTTAGAACAGTTTTTTTTTTTTTATTTCAAACTTTTATTTTTCTTTTCCATTCTTCCTTATTTTTTTTAAATTTCAGGTTAATGTGAGGGTACAAACTAGGTTACAATGTTTCTATTTGTTAGGTGGAGTCCCTCTTGTAGGTGTGCCCCATACCCAAGAGGTGTGCCATGTACCCTTACCTTGCACCCATTAAGTGGGAGCACATCAATTCCTCTCCCCTTCCCTTTTACTCCTCCCTCATTTCCCCTCTCCCTCTCCCCAACTTGAATTGAATGGAGATTTTCTCTTATAAGGGCATTTAGTAGATTGTCTCTGGCTTCATATTAGTATTAAATACACTGGATAATTGCTTTTCCATTCTTGTGATACTTTACTAAGAAGAATGTGTTTTATTGGCCAGGTGTGATAGCTGATGCCCATATCCTAGCACTCTGAGAGGCTAATGCAGGTGGATTGCCTGAGCTCAGGAGTTCAAGACCAGCCTAAACAAGATGGAGGCCCTGTCTCTACTAAAAATAGAAAAATTAGCCAGGCGTTGTGACAGTCTGTTGTAGTCCCAACCACTTGGAAGGCTGAGGCAAGAGGATCCCTTGAGCTCAAGTTGAGGTTGCTCTGAGCTATGATGCCATGACATTCTACCCATGGAGGCAAAGTGAGACACTGTCTCAAAAACAAAACAAAACAAAACAATTAGAATTCATCTAATGACCAGTTATTGAGATTATCTCATGATTTTTCTACTTCGGTTGTGTTTAAATGTCATAATATTAAGAGGGCACAAAAATTTTTGTTACATAGATACATTTCATCATGCTAAAGTTGGGGCTTTCAGTATAGCTACCTCCCAGGCAGTATTCATTGTACCCAATAAGAAAGTTCTTATCTTCCACTCCTTCTTCATTCTTCTTTCCCAATATCTTTTACATCTGTTTTTCCCTATGTGCACTCATTATTTAGCTCCCACTTATTCGTGAGAACGTGTGGTCTTTGTTTTCTCATTCCTGAGATACTTCACTTAGGGTAATGCTCTCCAGTTCCAGCCATGTTGCTGTGAACAACAGTGCTCCATTCCTTTTCATAGCTGGAATAGAGTACTACTCACCAATACACACACACACACACACACACACATACACACACACACACAGTTTCTTTATCCATTCATGGATTGTTGGGCCCTTAGGTTCATTCCATGTCTTTATACTTGTGAATTGTACACATTTCAGTGAATGTGTCTTTTTGATAAAATAATTTCATTTCCTTTTTTTTTTTAGATACCCAGTAGTTAGATTGCTGGATTGAATCATAGGTCTACTTTTAGTTCTTTGAGGAATCTCCCTATTGTTTTCCATAGAGGCTATACCAATTCACAGTCCCACCCGAAAGTGTATAAATGTTCCTTTCTCTCTGCATCCATGCCAGCACCTATTGTTTGATTTTTTAATAATGGCCATTCTGACAGGGGTAAAGTACTATCTCATTTGAACTTCAATTTGCATTTCTCTAGTGACCTTGAGCATTTTTATGTTTGTTTGCCATTTGTGTATTTTCTTTTGAAATATTCTGTCCATGTGTTTTTGCCCACTTTGATGGGTCTGTCTTTTTCTTGATGTTTTGTTGAGTTATTTGTAGATTCTGTAAATTAATCTTTTCTATATATGCACTATGAATATTTTTCCCCTTTCTATAGATTTCCTGTTTACTGTATTAACAATTTATTTTGCTGTACATAATCTTTTTAATTTAATTATGATTCATTCATTTATTTTTTTTGTTGCTGTATTTGTCATGGAAGTCTGAGTCATAAATTATTTGCCTACACCTGTGTCTAGAAGATTTTTTCCCACATTATTATAGAAATTATATAATTTCATGATTTACAGTTAAGTCTTTTTTCTTTCTTTCTTTTGTCTTCTCTCTTTTATTTATTTATTTTTTTGAGACAGAGTCTCACTGTCTTGCCAGATAAGAGTGCCATGGTGTCAGCCTAGCTCACAGCAACCTCAAACTCCTAGGCATAAGTGATCCTCCCATGTCAGCCTCCCAAGGAGCTATAGGCACATGCCACCACACCTGGCTATTTTTTCCTATTTTTAGTACAGATAGAGTTTTGTTCTACCTCAGATTGTTCTTGAACCCCTGAGTTCCAGTGATCCTCCTATTTGGACCTACCCTCAAAGTGCTAGGATTACAGACATGAGCCACTGTGACTGGCCAAGATTTAAGTCTTTAATCCATCTTGAATTAATTTTTATTTATGGTAAGACATATGAGTGTGGTTTCATTCTTTGGCATATAGCTATCCAATTTTCTAAACAACATTTATCGAATAGGGTATCCTTTCCTTAGTTAAAATAACCATATCAACTTTAAGCACAAAGAAAAAATCTGAAGGCATCATATATTAAGACTTCGAATTATATTCTAAGGCTGAAGTTATCAAAGACTTATAAAGTATACATGCAAAGAACTAATTTACATAATCTACAAAGAACTCAAAAAAACAAGAAAAGCCCCATCAAAATGTGGGCAAAAAACATGGACAGAATATTTCAAAAGAATATAAGTGGCCAACAAACATATGAAATAATCTTATCAAAAATCATATGTTTTTGTCAAAGTTCACATGGTCATAGCTATATGGTTTTATTTCTAGGTTCTCTATTCTGTTCCATTGGTCTTTGTTTCTACTTTTATACCCGTACTATGTTGTTTGGTTACTATAGATTTATGGTATAATTTGAAGTCAGATAATGTGATGCCTTCAGACTTGTTTTTGCTTAAAATGGCTTTGGCTATATGGGATCCTTTTTGGTTCCAAATGAAGTTTAGGATTTTTTTTTCTAGATCTGTAAAGTAAGACATTGGTATTTAGGTGGAAATTGTGTGGAAACCATACATTGCTTTAGGCAGAATAGACATTTTAAAGGTGTTGATATTACAAATCCATGAGCATTGGATTTTTTTCCATTTGTTGGTGTCATTTATGATTTCTTTCATCACTGTTTTATAGTTATCCTTGAAGAGATCTTTCACTTCCTTTGTTAAATATATTCCTAAGTACTTTATTTTCCTCATAGCTATTGTAAATGGCACTGAGTCCTCAATTTGATGCTCAGCTTGACTTTTATTAGTACATAGAAATTCTGCTTATTTGTGCACATTGTAATCTGAGACTTTGCTGAATTTATTTATCAATTCTAGGAGTTTTCAGGGTTTTTGAGATAGAGGAACATCTCATCAGCAAATAGGGATAGATTAACCTTCTTTTTCCTGATTAAGATACACTTTATTTCTTCCTCTGGCTAAGACTTCCAGTAATA